ACCGCAAGACTCATTGATCTGCGGACAATTTTGTCAATGAAGCATGGCCAACATCAAAATCAACAACAACAACAACTTTCACCAACAAAACTTGTCTAGTAAACAACTGAAAAAATAACAGCAACAGGCCCTGTCATACAAATCTTGTGCAACTTGTTTCGTTTCGTTGGAAAACTTATGATGAAAATTGAAAGTAAGTGAAATAGCCGCTTCAACAACAATTTCTATTTTCAACTGCAATATTTTCGGAATTTTATGCAGTAGCAGACACGTTTTATGGTGCATCTTTCATCGCCATACGCCTGAAATTCGAACTGAAGGAATGTTTGGGGTTCAGATGAAATATCTGAGTTTAAATGGGGGATCGCATCATGGATGCACACGCGCTAGCTCGGGAACTATTCGAGTTTATGAGTTCCCATATAATGCATTTATGCGTAGCCATAAAGACTGACTTGTTTAGCATAAATAGCTCACATTTGTGGTGATATTAGCTGAGGTAGCGTTTCATGGTTAAGTTGGGATAGGGTGCAATATAAATAGATTTGGGAAAATAATTTTGGAATTTCAAATCAAGCAGTTTAATTTGTTCTAAGCACATACATTAATCTTCACGCTGCTTTATTCTTGGGGAAAGTGTTCTTATATAGAAACACACCCCTTGAACTTTCAAAATTGGGATGAGTTTACTAATACAAATTTTTGGTTGAACAAAAGCTAATATACATTTAAGTGGGTAGTTACTTTCGGACCCTCATCATTTATTCTAATCTACATTTAAGTGGCTATTGGCTTTCGGACCTTTGTATTCCTACGAACCCCTAGAAAACTTTCAATATTTCAACTTGACAACAACCGAATTCGTGCCAATTACCCCGTCTAACCTCGATTTCTTAGCCCGGTGTTGCAGTTTGCATTCGCAATTATTTCTTCTGTTGTTGCATTTTACATGGCAATAAACCTTTCGGACGACCGCCCACGCTAAGACAAAGAACTAAAAGGTGAAACTGAAACAACATGCTAACCCCATTTCGCAGCCTGGGGAGAAACGACAAGGAGGGCTACAGGCGGAGGGAAAGAGACAAAAGTGGCGACATACAACAGCTGTTTCCTGCCGCAAACTGATCTAACACAAATTGTTTTTACCTTGCATTATAATTGCGTTGGTATAGAAGATATTTTAAGTTATCAAAAGATTACACAGATAAAAGCATTCTTTTTTCTGGCATTAAGTGTGCTAGTCAGTTATCTATACATTATAAAAGCCAACCCTCTCTTATTTCTTCTTCCTTTTAAGAACCAACAGACCGTAAAATTATTTTTCTTCAGACTTTGAGGCGAATTCTAGACAATTTTACATATCCTCGTCCGTCGTACAGCTATTTTCCAACCTCACCCTATTTTCATTGTTTTGAAAACCCGTCTAGTTTCTAATTACCAGAAAATGCAATGGCTGGCTAAGTTTGCTTTTCTTTTACTTGGAATTTTTCTTGTGCTGTTTACTTTTGTAGTGTAGTAAACTGAATCATTCTTGGTCTTATCAAATTGTTCAAAGACTTTTATAGGCAAGGTGCCCTTGTCAAAGCTTAATTTTCACATTATCACATACACATTTAAATAAAGGTCAATATGAGGGCCAATTAAAAGCAGGGCATGACTGATAAAGATTTTACTATTAAGAGAACTTCTCATTCGCTTAGCACAATTCCAAGTTTATTTACGAAATAAACAATCAATAAAGTAAATGAGGAAAGATTAGGAAACCCATAATAAAATACAATTAAATTCCTTCTACATATGTATGTACAGTAAATACCCGAAAGAAAAACTGATTCCAAATGAACTAAACCAAAATTGTTAATGAAGTAAACTTTCCTTTTTGGCAGCTGAGTATTTTTGGAATATCAAATCTTTTCAACCATTTTTTCCTCGCCCTGTCGGTAATCAAAACCAGCATAAAAGAAAATTATCATTAGCTACTCTTCAGCAAAATTGAAATCAAAATATTTGCATACAATGGTCTGAGAAGGGAGGGGTGAAAATGGGGATGAGTCGAACGAGGAGGAGCTCATTAAATGGAAATTTTATTCCGCTGCTGTGCACTTTTCATGCAACAAAGTGAGACAAGAAAAAAGGTTGTAAAATACACAGTGATTAGCGAAATTGGATCAGGAATGCCGAATACTTCATAAAGTATTCATGATTTCCAAGAAAGACCCTCAATCGACTTGATGCGGATCCATTAAGTACAATTCTTTTGAACTTGAACACATTTCTTTTTTTTTAATTAATGCGATTGCCCTTTTGAATTAAAAAAATTTTTTTTTAAGCATAAGCAAATGCTTATGATTGCTAAAGCAAATAGAATCAAAAACAAATGATGTAATCCTTTACAGTATATTAGATTTTATGATCTTGTGCTGCTAAACTTTCTCACGAATAGTTTTCAATTTTAAAAGTTAGTAGCTCGTTTTTCGCTTATTCAAAATGGTGTGTTATGTAGTTTATTACAGCCACAAATGGGGGAGAAAAATAAAATTCGATTAAAGCACGCGAAACGCGAAAAGCAAACTGAATGAACCAGAAATTCAGGGGCAAAATAAACCGAGTCGGTCGCCAGTGATGGTGAGAAAAATGAGAGACTGGGAGAGCGAATTCGGGGAGGCGCAATCTTTATAAATAGGAAAAATAATAATCAACAAACAAGAGCAATGACAAGGGACCGAAGAAAGAGAGCGATCCGATCCCCCGAAGGAAAAGTTTTTCGCCATATGTACGAGGGCGATTCTCTCGTCGTATCCACCCGCCTCTTTTATTTTGAACATATGGTCTTTGAGTCAGGGACAGCGCATAATTATCTGGAATTTTTATACGCTCACCCAAAGCCAACCGCTCCCCAAATGCCTCCCCCTCATATGTAACATTCATACATACATTCATATATGTTTTACTCATTACTGAATAAAAGCGCAAGTGAACAAGCGTAGACACGAACCGAAAAGCAAGAGTAACGGGACGCATGCGGGATTGGATGGTAATCCCCATCCATCCCATCCCATCTCGTCCCATCTCTTTCGCACCCCGCCGTTTTGTTGATGTCATCCATCAGAGGGTCTTTCTTTTATGTTCTTTTTGTTGTTTTTGCTACCTTAGGCCTTTTACTTATTGGTTTTTAGTGGTAGTTTTCAGTTCCGGTTAGTTGTCTTCTTCGTGCGCTGCCTCGGGCACTGTGCCGTTAGATTTATATGCCTACTAATTGACGAGCCATCGCTAACGAAAGAATATTTTCCTACCAAACTTAACGGTACGGAAAATGCCTAGTAAAAGAAATTAAGAACTACGAGCTATGTATGATTGAATGAACTTGGGACTGCGATGCGTGATTGTCGGTGGGAGCCCCTGATTTATTTAATTCCCTTTTTATGGAGAAACTACCGAAAAAGAGAGAAAGAAACTTAATTTTTGTTTTTTCTTGTCTGTACTAAACTTGCAAAGCGTATATATATTAAACTTGTCTCTTGTTAATAATAAAAAAGGATCCTAACACTTTTAGTTTTTAATTTAAGACACAATAAATTTACTTTGTGCCGGTTTTGCGAATTGCTTCGTTTTATCTCCCTTTTGTTTTACTTAATCAATTACCGTCAGGGCTTTTTCAATTTGAAATGCCCCATGTCGTAGAGTTGTTTTGAACTGTTTTAAGCTATTTTACTTTGTTTCTTTTATTTTGTTCCATTTATTGTATCATTTATCAATTTTATGCCACACTTGATTTCCATTTTTTATTTTTCGATAAAACACTTGACAGACTTATTCAACCGCACTTTTCAATTTAAGATCAATCAACCAATCAATATTCGCCAGAGGGTATGAAAATTAGAAACATGAGACGAATAAGGTCTACTTTGATTATGGGGTTTCACAACAGACCCTGTCATTAGCGCATTTGTTTTGATTTCACAATTTTTCTTAAATAAGCGTTTAATGAGCCAAAGGCACCTGACACAGCTGATAAGCGATTTCGATCGATAAAAGGTAACACACAAAAAACACACACATGAATTGAGATAATTTTGGGTTAATTTTCTTGAATTTTAAACCTTTTGGCTATTTTGCTTCAGGAGCGCAGCGGCAGCAGCTGCATTTTCCTTAGCATTTTCCTTTTCCTTGGCAGTTGCATTGCCCAACAACAAAACAACCGCGCGAGAGAGCGAGACAGGGCGACCGTTCCCGTTCGCTCCGCTTTTCTAGTGTTGTGAACGCGGCAAGAGTTAAATGCAATCTGAGAGAGGAAAGCGCTGAAAAGCCAGCGTCGAGTCGCGGTCTCTCCTCTGCCACTGCCGCAGCCGCGGTCGACGGCGGCAGAAGCCGCGACTTGTTTTGGGTGCCCAAAAAAATAACGAAAAGAAAAGCAAAAAAAAAAAACAAAACGCAGCCCCAAAGCAAAACGAACGCAATAGAAAAATTCCACTAATGCGACTTAGCAGTGTTGGAAATTCGTATTGCATGCACTTGAAAAAATAAATTGGGCTGCTTAGTACTATTTACGTTACATAGTAGGACAGGTGTTTGTAGGTTTGTAAAATATAACAGATTTTCCATTATACACGTATGTATGAAAAATAATCGGTTATATTTTATTTTAAAATTTCACTTGGTAAAGTAGCTTTACCTAACGTGTATATGTATGAAACATATAGTTTCAGCTGGTTGGTTAAGTTTGCTTCTCGTAATATTTTTTTCTTCAGTGTAAGTGACTTTATAGACGTTTGCAAAGTGCAATCGGGTAAAGTGGATAGAAAGGCTTGAGGGAAAGGTAATGGGAGACGGAATGAGAATCAAGAATCAAAAGCGACATATGCGAGCATCTCTTGAACTAAATTGAGTCAATTAAAAGTAATGGAAAGGAAAATCAAAGAAAAATGAGTCAGGGAACTGCTGTCCAGATGATTCAAGCAATTGGTTTAAAAAATGCGTAAGTAATTGGACTAAAAGAAAACATTACGCAGCATGATCCCTTTATTTATGCCCCCTTTTATATTGCCAATTGTATCTTTAGTGTTATTGTAAATGTGTTGTTAGAGTATTGACAGTACATCAATGTACTGGCTCCCATCAGAGGGCACCGCAGTCTTCGATGATAACCTTCTTGCTGGTCTTTCCATCTTGTGAACCGAAGGATTCAACCTTCTGGACGATTTCCATACCCTCAACGACCTTGCCGAACACGACATGCTTGTTATCCAGCCAGGTGGTTTTCCCGGTGCAAATGAAGAACTGGGATCCATTGGTATTGGCCCCAGCATTGGCCATCGAAAGTACACCGGCTCCCGTGTGCTTGAGCTCGAAATTCTCATCGGGAAACTTGTTGCCGTAGATGGAGCGTCCTCCAGTTCCGTTTTGATTGGTGAAATCACCGCCCTGGCACATAAAATTCGGGATCACGCGGTGAAATGGGGATCCCTTGTAGCCGTACCCCTTCTCTCCGGTGCAGAGGGCCCGGAAATTCTCCGCCGTTTTGGGCACCACATCCGAACGCAATTCCATCACAATTCTTCCGATCTTTTCACCTCCCGCGGCTATATCGAAATAAACACGCGGCAACGACATCTTCGCAGATGCCGAAAATTTACGTAGGAAAGCCAGGTCTATTAGGTTTAAAATCGAACGATGCCTAGTTCAAAAGCAAGAAAAATATTTACCGGATAACTTGGTGGAGACAGCTTGATGATAAAAATGAAACACCCTTTAAAGAGGACCTTACGGTAGAACAGCTGAAACTGAACTGACCTATTTTCTGGGCTGGCCAGGGATCTGAACTTAGGGCTAGTTGAAATTCATTCCACAGCCTGCTTCATGAAATTCAGGAGCACACAAATAAAAGCCATCAAAGCAGGCTTTCCACTGTTTTTAAAACATTGTAAATTATGGGAATATTTTGATATTTTAAGTAAGATTATCCTTAAAATAAGTTCGATGTGGTACACTCCCATAGACTGACTTTCAGCTACATTTAACCAAACACACTAGAATAGCAGTAATAATAATGGAATAATAATATTCAATGTCTTTGCTTTAACCGTGTCACTACGTAAACTTACAGACCTTATTTACTCTTCTAATTTGTTTAGCCGCCGCCTTAATCAACGCAAAACTCGCAGATCGAGATACGTTTAAAGCCGGCATTATTTACCTTTCATTTGCAGTTGTGTACAAACTTTATAAGTGTATGTTTGCATAATTGGGCAAAAATTTAGTCAATATTTATTTGCCAGAGCAAATACGAGAATTGCGCGGAAACTGTGAGAATTATCCAAGCTTCAAAGAAGTTGCTATTCCATTTAAATGTATTCAATTGTTTGTTGTCAATATGAACGCATAGCACTCCTTTAAAACTCTTGTATTGCGATTTGTTTGTGCTTAGCACATTTTGTGTATATATCAAAGTTAGTTGCCAAGACAACAATTGCTATATACACAAGAATTCTTACAAGGCGAAACTAAAGGCGGTACGATAGTAACGAAGAAAGTAGTAAACACAGCCTAAGAAAGTAAGTTTGCATTATAAATAGGACTTCCCCTTTGATAACCATTTTTGAACTATTTTCTGCTTATAAATAACATTTAAAAACAAGCTACTTGAAAACCCTTTGATTACCTCACCACAAAATGCCAAAAGTTCAAGATGATTTCAGAAAGAAGTGCCCAAGGAAAGGTAACTCGTACTCGCACGTAGGCCGTAATTGTTAACTCGACTCTCCACTGTCTCATTACTTATAATAAATTGTAGTGCGACCAAATAGCGAAGACAAGAAAAGATACAACCCATAGTTGGCCAAGACAAGTGCAGCCCCAACTGAACTCGAACTCGAACCCGAACCCGATTCGATTCCATTCCACTCGATTCGATTCGATTCGATTCGTTGTGACTAGTTACCCATTAATGTAGCGCCCCGTTCGCCTTGGACAACCTTGTGCAAAAAGTAATACGAGTTTACGGAAAGCCAACATGACGTAATGGAAAGCGTAGGATTTCTACTTGCCAACTGCTCCCACTGCCACGCCCCCAGAAATAGGCAAGAGGCGCCTGTGGACTTGTGTGTGGGAACATAAATTCACATTATGGCCAATTCTTCGGGCGATTTTTCAGGTTAGATAAAAGGCAGACAAGAAACACTTTTGTGGGTTCGTTTTAGCACTTACCAAGTGGAATTGGTAAGATAAGAGTGGTCGAGGTAGTTTGTGCTTGGCTATTGTTTTGCTTACCTGGAAGTAGAGGAAAATAAAGAACGAATTATTATTAGATTTGGAATAGCAAAATTCAAGATAATGGATATGGAAACGAGGTGAATGTAAAGTCAACACAAGAACCATTTTAATGTCAAGCACTGTTTTTCAGAGGATGTGAAGATACAAGTGCAAACAAATGGGGAATAACCAAGAACCCAGAGATCAACTAACGTCAGTATCCAAGAAATATTACTCGTTGGCTACCATTTTTAGTGTGAAAAATAGCAGAAAACTAAGAAATATTTTCCTACTGCCCAGCTAACGCCGATCGATCCATCAACTGAAAACCGGCAAGGAAAAACGATTTCTGCACCCACACTCTATTCAAAAAAAAACCACTGAAAATTGATTTTGTCTAGCGGTTCGTGCCATTCGTTCCATTCGCCACCTGCTTGGGTCGTCTTATCGATTAAACAATTTTGCTGGCACCTTTGACGCCCACCTTTAAGACCATCAGAAGTCGAGGCCCGGCACAACATAAAAAGCATAAAGCCGAGCCGAATGAGATATGGAAGGAAAATACAAAAATAATACGAAAAACGAAATAATACGAGTAAAAACCATAAACGAAAATCAATTTTTAACCCAAATGTGACGTTGACCCAGAAAACATCGAAATCCCAAAGACAAAGAGACAAACCTACACACACAACGAATTGAAGCATAAACGTTGCAATTATCATAATTAATGCAAATGCTCCTTAAAGTATACCAAAGTAAAAACGGAATTAAATACTCAAAGGCATTTACGAAAGCGTTTAACCCAAATCGGTTGAAATTGCTGCGATTGTATAGATGATGCAAGTCCATAAGGGGGAGGTTAATTGGTCGGAATGACAGAGAAATTGTTGGCTTGCTTAGTCATTTTATCATGGGAGTGTAACTGTGTTGTTTTGAAACAGTGCTCAAAGTTCGGTAAAATGTGATTCAAATTATCTAATAATAATTACATTTATAACATTAGAAAAACTACTCACTAAACTCAGAGGGAAGTAGAAATAAACATGCCGTTGTTCAATAAATTCAATTGGTGATTTCTTTCCCGCGCACTTTGAATATATTTCTTCGCTTCCTGCTGACTGTAGCTTCATTTGTATTCCATTTACTATATTTATGCATTCTATTAGCCAGACACCTGGTGGAAGTGGAAGTCTATCGTATACGCCATGCCTTGTAGGTGGCTGTTTCCAGTCGACGCCTTCGTCATATGGCGAAGATATATACACATGTGTATATTGCCACTGGAAGAGCCAAAGGCGGGGAGAGATATTCAATTCGAGTGATTACCAAATCCTAAACATTTTGCTTGGGCAACTTCAAGTGGTGTCGTCAGAGCAGATACTCCACTTGTGCATGTATCAAGCCAAGAAAATAAAACAGATTTCATCCCCACATCGCTTGCCAACTCTGACAATTGAACAAATTGCAATTGTGGCATTGTCTTGGGCCTGCCTACAGTTATAATTGCATAAGTGCGACGATGCAAAACAGCTGCGGAGAGGCCGGGACAAATGCAGATTTTATCAACCTCTGACAGCGCTGGGAAAACTGGGAAAGCTGAGAAGACCATGTCAAGATCTCCGCATCCCGAAACCTTACGCAACACCTTCGGTTCAATCCAATGCGATTCTTTTCTTCCGCATTAGATTGTCCGATGAGTGACCTCAGCTTAATTAAGCCAACGGAGCATTGAAAAAATGGTGGTCGGGGTGCAGAAATTAGGGTCAGCTGTAGTGAAAAAAGAATTAAGTAGAAAATCGTATTTGGTGCAGTGAAAATCTTTTTGGATACGCTTAACACTTTCCTGGGCATCGGGCCAAGGTGAGATGGGGAAAGTTTCTTGAGTTTTCACAGTCCACTTTCAGACAGAGGTTAAGATAGAAGATAGGCAGAAGGGTTGAGGTACCTGCTATTATACTGCTATTATTTTATTGTTTCATACCATGTAGGAGTACAGTTGATGCCAAAAACATGCTCTTTCTTAAAAACCCATCTGCTTTCCACTCGCAGCTCATTTCGTATTCCGCGCCCAGTTTCACACAACAATCAAACCAAATGCAAGGCACTTCTTTGACTGGTAATGATCTCTTGGCCCAACTCCACCTGTTTCTCACCTGGCCAAAATCCCTTCCCTCTTCCACAAATCCCACTTCCGTTTTCCGCTGGCCTGTTGCATAAAAGAACAATCGCACAGGGGCGTTTAAAAATTGATTCGTACGTGAGATTTTTCGCCAAACTCATTTTCAATCCTTGTTTTTATTTCTCCTTTGTTTTTTCCTGTGCGCTTTTCCACCTTTCCTTTTGTGCTGGCGACTTTTACTTTGTTCATTCTCCTTTTATTTGTTTATTTTGAGCAATTATGCAGAAAGCAATTGTACACCTGTGTGTATCACCATTATATTTGTGCACTTCTAGCAATTGGTTTTATTTTGCTTGCTTTCTTTCAGGAAATCTTAATGTTTTTAATGATAGGATAGAAAGCTTTTGTTAACAAAAAGAAGTTGGATCGGTATTGAAACAATTCAAAAAGTAAACAAATTATTTCGAGCTTCATTTAATAAACTGCAGAAAAGCAAATATAATAACGAACATAAACTAAACATATTAAACATACATGAACTTTGAACTCAAGTATGCACATATTCATTTCAGAAACCCACGAAAACCACACACGTAACGAACTCTTCCTCATACCTGTATATTCCTGACGTTTCCCACAACGGAAAGCGAAAATAAACCCTGCAGCCAGCAATGATTTCCCGACCTCTTTGGCACTCCATCAAATAAGCATTTACATGGGCAGTGGGAAATCTAATCGACAGTGATTTGGCGGAGGCTGAGTGAATTTCAATGACCTTGAGGCGCCAATGCACTCCCCCAATGGCCATGGTCAATTGCGGAGAGCCTGCTGAAATGCTTTTGCTTTTTTCGCTTTATATAATGGTCGGCGAGGCACACTCGGATTGGATCCGCAGAGATCGCGATAGACAACGACAACCTACACAAAACCAAAGCACTGAATTTCACCTGCCAAGTAGCCACGAACTCCCAGTGAAAAATACCAGCAAAGGTGACTGCCACAGCGATTGAGGGAAAGAAAACACGTTTGATTTCTTTGCGCGCGAAGATCCCAAGTGAAAAGTCACAAATTCACTTTTCCAGGGATTTCGGTGTTTTTTTTCACCAACGAGCATGGAAAACATTTTCGGAATTTCGTCTCAATGAAAATAATTTTAAAGCTCACACACATGTTGGGAAACAAATTTTGCGCTGGCGAATTAGGTTCAAGTGCAGATTATGTCTCTTCATCAGCAATTTCTTTGATGAAATACCAAACATTGACAATATTTTGCTTATTCATGCGATTGGTATCTATTTATTTATCTATTCCGTAATTTTTCGGCATCTAATGCGAAGACTTTGAAAACGTTTTGTGCAAGCGAAATGTGTTAAAAGCCGAGAAAACTATTTGAATTGATGTTTTAACGATATCTAATTATCTGAGCTAAGCAATCCGAAACATACCTTTTTTGCAAAAAAGTGAATTTAGTACTACTACTT